CAGCTCCTCAGATTTTTCCATTTAAAGTTTCAAAAACAGGAAAGGTGCCCAACACTGGCTTTCACTGTGGAACCAACAAACACATTAAAAGCTTCACACACAATTTCCTTTACTGCGCCGGATGCCAGTGGCTCAGGAAACCTAAAAAAAAATGTTGTGTTTGATTTTGGCAGGTAATTAAAAATGCCGTACCTGCTGATGTTTGTCACCCTGCTGCATCTCATCACTCTGGCAATCCTGATTATTGCAACCATGGAGAAGGTAACAGTCAACTTTAGGAAGTGGTGAGTGTTTATTTTTCGTATGTGTGAAATAGCTGACTCTGTGTGTAATGTCTGATCTCTTTTTTTAAGTCTTGGTGGGTGTGGGAAGGGATGGAAACCTCAGACCTATGGCACAGCTGCAGGTATGACAACTCCACAGAAAGCTGGCTGTGTTCACCCAACACTGAAACTCGTAAGTTTTTGTTCCAGATTGTGTATTGCTGTAAAATGAAATAGCTCTCCCTTAAAGGTAAAAATGTGACTGAGGGAATGGTTTACTTCTTCAGAATGGCTCCAGGCAGTGCAGGCCTTAATGGTTCTTTCGGTGGTCTTCTCATCGGTCTCCTTCCTGGTGTTCCTGGGTCTGCTGTTCACCATGTCTAGGGGCGGTCTCTTCTACTTCACCGGACTGTGTCAAATCTTTGCAGGTAACAGTGGAGTGAAGGAGCTTGCAAAATATAGTGCCACTGTGTGATCAGGGCATTTGAAAACTATGACAAATTAAAGAGTGCTTATTATTATGCTACTCAAGCCTATTACAATAACTTACTTGTGGAAAGGTATCTGGTAGATTAATGCTGAAGTTTCTTTTTTTGTAATCATATGACTTATACTATTAAAATAATAATAATAATGATAATAATATATCCATCTATTTTCTGCCACTTATCTGGAAAGCAGGGGTGGGAGTCTAAGCAGAGAGCCCCAGACCTCCCTCTCCTCTGTCACTTACAATATGTGCATTTATTTTTTTTAAACGTGTCACCTGAAATATTTGAGATCACCCCTGTTTTTAAATGTCTTCTTTGAAGCAGTAACCACTACTCCTGATAAAATATGAATGGCATGGATCTGTGTTGGTCATCCAAAGTATATGCTGTTGTTGCTCCCACTATACTTTATGTGACCTAATTAGTAGGTACTAACACTACAAACGTTTCTACTATCTGACCCATTAACCAATTGTTATTGTGTGTATGTTTTTTGTGTATGTGTTTTAGGCCTGACAGCCTTTTCTGCAGCGCTCATCTACGCAATACACAACAAGGAAATCCTTGAAGAAAAGCTGACAGGACACTTTGGCTACTGCTTCATCCTGGCTTGGGTGTGTGTCCCATTGTTGCTGTGTAGCGGCGTCTTATACATCCATCTGCGCAAGAAGTAGTGATCTAAAGAAAGGAACACAATGTCAACCCCACCTATTGTTGGAAAGAGGCACGTGCCTATGTTATGTTTCTTAAAATGTTGCTGATGTTTTTATTTGTATAGACATGTATGCTGAGAGGGAAAAAAACTTAGGATTTAAAAGGTTTAATGCTTGCCTATTTTGAGACATTTTCACTGCAAAAAGTATTTCGTTATTCACTTACTGTTCACTGTCATGTGCTAACCACATAAAGTAATCCATAAGTAAGTGACACTGGCCTTATTAAGAGGCATTTGAATTTCTTTTAATTTGCCTATTCCCCTAATATTTTTTTATGTATAAATATATATATTCTTAATAAATATCGGACAAAACCACAAAGCTTTAAGTCTCTATTATGTTTTCAAACCAGCTTTACGTCGGGGAGGGAAACGGCTGAGGCTGTTGCCATGTCAACCATAAACTAAACAGGGAACCTAACTGGTACTAGCTTTGGAAGCTAATAGCTTAAAAGCTGCTTTTTATGTTGCAAAATTAAGCTCATATCGACTCATAAACGAGCTTCGTAGCAATAATGGAAGCTGAATCTCAAGCGTCCGCGATAATTCCTCTTGCCTTGCCCAAAGGAGCGGAAAAGTTCTGCGAGCTTTGCCAAAGAGAAGCCCGCTTGCAATGTAGCAAGTGTCGAGTCACTTTTTACTGGTAAGCTCAGTTTATCCGAGCTGTAGCATGTCGATACCCGTGCTAACGACTGACCCGTTATTCATAGATAGATATATTTTTTAAAGGCATGTATTGTGTTTAGTTTATATGGTTTGGTCAGAACTGTTTTTACGGGTTGGACGCTAGGTGGCAGCGTTCGCCATGTTTTTCCCCCTCCCACGCTCACACATACATAACACGTCGGTAAGGAGGGCGTTTTAGTGTGATTGTCAGGAGGAGGGAGCGGAACAGCTGGAGAATACATTACCACAACGCTTATTTTTGTTCTGTTGCCTGCGTGTTGTTTTCATAATATAATTTGCTGAGCTTCAGCTTTTATGTAAACCCGACGTTACCTTCTTTGACACTGTTTTATATGCGGTTCCAGACCATAACATGGTGCTGGGCAGTTTCCCCGTTGGCACACACTGTGGGTAGTGAAGAGGAGCATGTGGCGAGATCACTCCCTGTGGGGATTTATGGAAAGGGATGAGCAACTAAAGCCAGTCTCAGGCAGCTTACAGATACTTATTGTGGCTGTCATCCTTTCAGTCTTTAAAATGGGTGAATGAGAGGCACAATTTTTGGTTTGATTAAAAAAAAAAACAGATATAAATATAGATATATATATATGTCAGACAATAAGAATCAGGTTCTCAGGATTCTTAAAATCTTTAATTACACGTGAAGCAAGCATACTGAGCTATTCCCAGTCATGGATTGAGCCAAAGTAATACACATGGAATAGGGCTTTAGGGTAAAATGGTTAGTCTTAAGTCATCTTACTTTGGCATGCGAGTCATGTGTGTGGTGATTGTTTGGTGTATTTTGCATAGAAAACTCAGCGGGGACAAGAGAGTACATCCTGAAGAGACCACTTGATTTGTGTTTATCTCTGTGTGTGCCTTTCTGTCTGTCTCTGTACTCTCACAAGCACAAGCTGTGTCAGTGCTACTGTTGATATGACATGGCCAGATTTCCAGCTCCCTGCTTCTCACCACAAGTACACTGGAATGAGCGCACATTTTTCACAGTAGGGGGGAAAAAACCCAGCTGAAAAGCAGGACAGTTTCCACACAAGTGTGCAGAAGAGGAGAGCCAGATGAACAAAATTACAGACCAGTTATGTAATGGCATATAATTTAGTATGCCCTCTGTGTACTCAGATGATATCTCCTGAATCAGAGAGACTCTGCCCTGAAAATGTTAGCAGAATCCAAACAAGCTGTTACTGCACAGAGATTTTTACTGTCAAGCACACATAATAGTATCTGTCTGGACAAGAGAGGTGAGCGTGATCCATAATTTTAAATCATTCACAAGCACAAATCATTCACAACAGGTATGAGCTGCAGCTCAGCTTATGTCATAAATCGTGATTCTTTATCAATAGCATCATTGCCAGGAAAACATCAGCCTCAGTGTGCACGGGGGAGACTTATTATGCATAAAAATGCTTCTCACAAAGTCCTGAGGTGGCTTAAGAGAATATAAATATGACCGAATGACCTGTGGGTTTTTAAAACATCCAGCGCTGCAGAGCACCAGCAGGCTGACTGGGTGGGGATCCACAAGAGAATTTGTCAGCTGCTTGTTCCCATCCGCGCCCTGCCACTCCGCAGTCTCCAACAGACCAGTCACACTGAAACACAAATTAAAAAGGTGAGGATGCGTGGAAATCACTGGCACTACATATTAGGAGAAAAAAAAAAAATTAAGTTTTGAAGTTTGAGTCTAGGTTGCATTTTTTACTGTCAAAGAAAATACAAAAAAGGACTATATTATTATTCCTTGAATGGTTTATGTTCCATTTTTCTTTATATGATTTGTCATTATGGTGCACAAAGTCCAGGTCTAGGTTGTAGCTCCTACTTTTGGAATATAGATTCTGGAAAAAATATGTGTTACAGCTGAGAGGAACAGTCAAATAGAGGCATTAGTGTATAGACAACTGAGATAGTGTTTTATTTTAAGAGGAAATAAGATATTTTAATTTGATGCCCATCTTGGATTTGATTTCTTATATAGGCGGAGCTTATTGAGATTTGCAGGTTGGTGGCTCAAAGTAAGCTATCTGAGGGAAAACATCAAGAGGCTCTGCCTGCTGCTCAGCTCTGCCTGCGCTGTTCCATAGACGTTCATGGCCCTAACACCGTCCAGCTGGTCCCTGCCTACCTGCTGCTGGCTGAAGCCAACATGGGTGAGAAACAAGCACAAAACGGCTTCTCAGTTTAAATGTTCTCTTATCGTGTGGTCTTTCATGCATGACCGTGTGTGTGTGTGTGTGCATCTCCAGGTTTGGGTAATCTAGACCTTGTGGCAGATTTCCTGTCCCAGGCAGAGTGGGCAGTGTTGAAGAGTCCAAAATGTGGTCTCACAATCCACCACCAGCTCCACAGGAGCCTGGGCCGCCTCCATGTGGCGACTGGAGACCTGGATACTGCGTTTTATGACTTTGCAAATGATGTCTGTGTCATAATTAGCACATTAACTGTTTCATATCTTTATTGATATTGTGAGGAGAAGAAGCAATTTGCTAACCAAATGAAATCCATATTGGCTTGTTTATTGCTCGAGCATGTTTTTTCGAGTACGATACAGTATTGTGTATTGAATTAGAGTTTCTTGGAATTTTAAAGGGGTGTTGAGCAATAGTTTTCAAAGTTTTCTTTTTACTCATTTTAATCCAGTCCTTGTACCTGACTCTTCTCACAAGAATGAGGGTTTTTTTTTTGCTTGTTTGTTAAGCCATTTAACATTGACCCGTGAATCATTCAAGCATAACAATGGCACCAAACTCAAAGATATGAACCGGTGTTGTGTCTACACAAAGCAGACAACTTAGCAAAGAGCCAATTTCATTGTCCAGATACTTTGTTACTAGCAGCCTCTCACAAAAGCACATCATTTTTGAAGCTATAAAAAATGCCAAAGACAGCACAATGTGGGAGGCACAAAATAGTATTTTTGCACTAACAAAGTGATTTCTGAAGAGCTGAAAACTTGGCATATCTTGTCCTGATATGCTGTGTGTCCTAAAAGAAAAATGAGGAAACTGGAAAAGGGGAACTCAAAAGAAGAAGTGGCCTAGAAAAACGATCTACTTGTCACATATCCTAAGAGAAGCATCTGGCCCTTGAGTTGATCCATCTACTGTTTATCAACCATCAAAAATAGTTGCAGTTGAAGCAGAAATTTTTAAGGAAGGGAAACAATGAGAAAAACCTGAGGAGTGTCTACAGCCATCTGTAAAACATGGCGGAGAGATGATTTGGATCTTGTCAAAATTGATGGAATAATGATAGCAGTCAAATACCACCATTCAAAAGCATCTGTAAAGTGTCTGATTAGTTTATCAGCATGCCATTGATGCTCAAACACACTGCAAGTGCAGTAAAAAGCAAACCTGGTTAGAACAACAAACAATGGAACGAGATCAGTTACAGACTAGCCTCCCCAAAACCTGAACCTCAACATTACGTGAGCAGCGTGAGATCATTTTAACAGAGAATGGAACAACAAGCATTTTGCACATGTTTTGTGTCGTATGCATCAGTATGTATATAACTTGATTTCCCCAGATCTACTTTGCCACTGAGGAGTATGGTCTGGATAGCACAGTCACCTCTCGGGGCTACTTTCTCATGGCTGATGTGTTTACCAAGCAGGGGAAGATACCCACTGTTCGTTCCTTGTACTCGGAGGTCAGTTCTGTTCTCATTGCCCTTGAGACTAAATTTATCTTCTATGCCTTTTACATTCTTTTGCTCATATTGTAGGTGGCACGTATTTGGCACAGTCACCTGACCAGACTTCTCGAGACTCGCAAAGAAAGCATCCAAAATCCACCGGTGGACTCCTTTTATGGTTTGTTGCAGCCACTCTGCATATATGTTTTGTATATATGGTATAAAAAGGTTATAAAAACCAATCTAGTCGATTCAGCGGTTCAGCAGAATCAGACAATAACATCACCAGTCCATCATTCATGCTCCAAACTGTCAACAGCCAACAGCTCCACTGGAGTGTCACTGAAAAAATAAGGTCGACACGTCTATATTTGGAGTGTGTCTTGCTGCGCGATGTGAAAGCTAAACCCCAGATTTATGCAAGCTTGCTTAGAGCTGACTAGAGACCCATGCTGACACTACTGTGGCTGTGCAGCCTCCACGCCACTGCCCTGTATCACAGCTGCTGCCCTACATATAATGCTAAGCCTGTCAAACAGTTTCCCATGCTATCTGGGATGTTTACAAGGGACAACACAGACATACAGACAGGCGTTTGTTTTGATCAAACTTGTACACATGCATGTCACTTGCTTTCTTTCATTGTTTGAGGTGGTAAAGCATGTTTGAGACCACAGTAAACTAGACGACATGCTTTTTTTTGTGTCCATGCCTTTCAATCAGACAAAGCCGAGCGAGTTGAAGTGGATGAGATGTTGAGAACTATGTTGGAATTTGAGCAGAAAGACACCAGAAAAGACCCAGCACGGATTGCAGTGGTTGCCCACTGCCTGGCCATGTTGTCGTTCCTAGGAGGAGACTTCCTCAAGGTGAGCCACCTGGTGAGGTATTAGAAGTTTAGTTTGCCACCGTGACCCATTTCCCCATTTCCCCATTTCCCTATTTCCTACTTGTGTTGTCTGAAGATGGGATTATGTCTATTTGTCTACTGCTAAGTCTCACGATAAGGTGGGACTTAGCACTAGCTAATGGGACTGTCTCAACGCTCTGACTGCGGCCTTGATTTCCAGTCTCTTCTTAAAGCTGCAGCTCTTTATGTGTGTCAGTTTGAGATGTCAGGCGACAAGGCAGATAAAGCCATAGCGGTCTATCTGCACAGCAAACAGTAAAACACGTTGTGTATCAGGCTGGTACGGACCTGATGGTATCCTACTTCTAAGGTCAAGTAAACATAGGATAAAGCATGTAACAAGCAATGATACACGTGGATTTTTTTTTTCACAGCGTTTATTTTTATTTTGTGGCTTATAGGCAGGGAAGATCCAGTGC